ACTTATTATATATATATATATATATACTAGTTGACCCGGCAGACGATGGGTTATTTATAGGTTATAACGAATTCTAAAAATATTAGTCAACAATATTAATCTCTTAGTGTAATGTAGTGTACAATATTTTTTGTCATTCCATCTTTAGCTAACACAAATAAACTGGATGGTTTGCCCACTCGAGAGATTGCCACGTATAATTGTCGGTGTGAAAAACATGGTGTGCTCAAATCAAAGCCAAAAACAGACATTGTTTGACCTTGAAATTTATTAATAGTCGTTGCAAATGCCAATCTAATGGGGAACTGAATGCGTTAAAATTGAATTGGCATATATGTGGGTATAATAGGGATTCGTGGAAGTAATATACTTTCCTCCATTTAAAATAATGACTTCGATAACGTTGTTCATTAATTTTTTAACGACTAATCGTGTGCTGTTGCACATCCGTGGTGGGTTCAAATTACGAAGCAAAATAACCAGACATCCAACTTTCCCCTGGCGGGGATAGTTGATCAACTGTTAATTGATCAGCTATCGACCGGGATTAAAAAATATAAAATGCTATTAAAAAGTAGGGGTTTATGGTACGAGAGTGAAAATTAAGGACTGAATGTATTTTTTAATGCCACACCATAAAAAAATAACAAAAAAAATTTGTCCCAAAATTGAAGAAAAAAAAAATTGTTATAAACCTACTCTTAGACCTTCTGAATATACGTATAAAATTTCATCAAAATCGGTCAAGCCGTTTCGATGGAGTGTAAACACTGAAACTGTGACATGAAATTTTTATATATAAGATAACAAAGAAACAAAATTTGTCCAAAAAAATTAGTTATACACCTATTCTCAGACCTACTGAATATACATATAAAATTTCATCAAAATCGGTCAAGCCGTTATGGAGGAGTATAAACACTAAAACTGTGACATGTGATTTTTATATATATAAGATAACAAAAAAAAATATGTCCAAAAAAATAACAAAAAAAATTTGTTGTAAACTTATTCTCAGACCTACTGAATATACATATGAAATTTCATCAAAATCGGTTGTTAATATATCCAATTTATCTCACCTTTCGTATTGTACTTCTTTTGAGATCAACTACTTATTAAATTACTATGCGATAACTTTTTTATATTAATACATTTCATTCAAAAACATCTTTAACTGGTTAAACTGATAGTTCATTTAAAATTTGTATTTTTAAAAATTATTTAAATTTTTTCCTTCAGTAAAAAATGCTAAGAAACTATTATTATTAATTATATTTTTATATTTCTGTTTATATTTCTTTCATTGCAGGAACCTTGATTTAAAACGAAATGAAAAAAAAATCTATTTTAATAATGCAGAAATTAAACATATCGTAGGGAATATGTTCCTTTATCATAAAGCTGTTTGATTATACTTAACACAAGAATTCCATTTGAAAAGGATAATCATGTTGTTGTATATAGAAGAAATATTGCATTTTCAATAAAACTGTATTCGGAATGTCATTTTTTTAAAACTGATGTCAGTTTTAAGTATTTCATACAATACATCAGAAATAATTTAAGAACACAATTTAAGAACAGAAAATTCTTAAATGCATTTTGCCAGACACCGGCATTTGTTTCCATTTTTCGTTATCGGAGAACAACTATTTGGAGCAGATGATAAAATTCAGTTTTTCTTCCAAAACTCTTAAGTTTTCTACCTAAAGCGCAAACGCACGACTTATTGTCCAACGAAGAACTTCATATCTTGTTCATTGTCCATTTCTCAAAGACCTATTGACCGAGTCCTTGATAACCTCTAATCCATACACCTTTTTTTTTTCTTTTAGAACAAGGACAAATTTATTTTTTTTCTCCACGGTATTTGTTTGCGATCGGTTTAGAAAGAAGTTTGAATGCCATTCTCCGTTGCCAAATCTGACTTTGAAATAAAATAAGTTTTAAAAAATAGCTGTTTTCCAATCAATCCTGGTTGCAAATTCTGAAAATGATTTTCCGTATTCAACTAGTATTAGCTTTTCTAGGATTTGAGAAAAAAATTTGCATTGCCATCTACGGACACCTACTGATCATTCTTCTTTAGCATAATTGCAAGACTTAACAAGTTTTAGAATTACAACAAAAATATCAATTTATTTCTATCGTGTACTGAAATGAAATTGAAAACGAGCAAAAAATATTTTCATAAATTAATACATATTTTCATAAGTTAAGTTTAAAGAAATTGTTAACAAAGTCTCTATACGACAATCGTTTCAGTTAAATATTCTTTTTTCATTCAAGGATAGTATTAAAAAATAATTATTTAATTATTTCGCATTGAGTGTTTTGTATTAACATAGCCGCAGGAAAATTAGAAATTTGCTGATGATGTTGTTATTTAACAATATTTTTTAATCATAGCTTTTTTTTACATGCGTGTTCGTACGTGCCTCAAATTATGCTCCGTACTCCCCTTGTATGTTCATTCCATCCTATTTGAAGATTTAGGAGAAGAACGATAAATGTACATGAAAGCTGTGTATGAGAAGCTGTGTAAGAGAGAAAACGAATTTGCGCGCTGACAATAACAGTTTCCCCCCGAAAGGCCCATCTGCACTGCGTAATAATTCTCGGTGAGAACATATTTTCTACGTTATTGATTTGTCTAAACTTGACTTAATCAACATATGGTGATTCAATAGTAATTTTTGTGAAAAATGAACCATTCTTTCCATCTCCAAACGTAACTGGGGAAGGTGAAATTCGCCCCAAAATGAAGTGTTGGTTATAAAACGATTTTTGAAGTTCTTTATGAAGTTTCTTTGCAATAAAGGTTACAGAAGATCTATTACACATCACACTGATTTGGTAGATAAGTTGTTGCCAGATCTGGATGAGTGGGTGTAGGATGCCACGAATATTGCACTTGTCTGTCAACAGTGACTTCAACAGCTTTTAACAGATTATTTTCAACAATGTGAACGCATAATTGCTGTTCTGTGAGAGATGGTTCTGGAATTTCGGAAGCTTTTGACAGTAGTTGATTATAGTGTGGAGATACCCTTACATGTATTCTCTGTATTGACCAAGAATTTCGATAATTCAAAAATATATATTCGGTGTTTTTTTCCTTCCTTTTTGTTAATTTGTAAGGGAAACATTTTGTTTTTTACTGCTTCTAACACTTTTTTATTATTTTAAAACAAATGACTTAAAAAAAAGTGACTTTTCCTTTTTTATTTATATTACATATTCTTAATAAAGAATACTGAATAGGTTTTTATTTAATTTTTAATAGGTTAATTTTTACAGTATTTAGTTTTTTTCTTCAAAATTTTACATATTATTAAATCCGATACATGACATTTGTCAAACTAATAAACTGCTTTTTACATCATTAAGATATGATAGATGTTTATATTTATCAAGAGTTAAATGAGAATATTTCAAAGAAATGCATGCAAATTATATATTATATAATTCTTTAAATTTCTTACCAACCTTAAATTGTTTTAAAACCTTCATGATTCGAATCCAGATTTATTCCACTATCCGCACTCGTTTAGAAGTGTTACCAACATAACTCTCTAAATCACTCCATTTCCTTACCAAAGAAGTAGGCAAATCGATTGCTGTGGCTCAGACGATGATCGCACAGAGTTTAAATCGATTGGATAATCCATCGAGCAAAATAAAGTTGTGTTTGCCTACCCTGGTAAAGGGGTAAAACTCCATTTTATGTCTCTTTCATTGATCCCTTAGAATCGGTGAACGACATATAAAATAATTTTCCGGTCACCATATTTGCAGAGAACTCTTGGATTAGGAAAGGTCAGCATTTGTCCTGTTTCAAGTAAAGAGAACTATCGGTGTTCTGAAGAATTTTCTATGAACAAAATCTATAGGGCAGTCGGAATTATTATCTTTTGGAAGAATGGGGAATGCTTTTTCCCTATACTTAAACTCTTATCATCACTGAATTAAAGTCATCAAATCATGATTTAAAACGGTTTGAAATGCACTTGATACCATGGTTCACTTAAAGTTTTTTTTCAGGTTAAGTAAAAGGTTAAAAGTATAAGGTTTTTAATTGAAGCATATATATAGGATAGAAATATGGGTTATTTAGTTTTTTTTTATTATAATGTGACGATAGCTTATTGATTTCAAAACCGTAGTTTCAAAAAGAGAGTAAAAAACAATTGTGTGAAAAAACTATGCGGTGATTCACGAGTGAACATGTTTTGAATTAGAAAAGTCTTAAAAATTCTTGGTTTGGAACTCAATTGTTATTAAAAACTAGAAGTGAACTGAACTTAAGTGAATCATGATAAAGCCTGAGCACAAGTTCATGACATAGAAAACTGGTGAGCTTTGATGTTAAAATGATTTCAGCGAAAGTTCCGTCGGATTGTGCATATGTTCCGTCAACCACCCCAACCCCACTTTTTAGAGATTTTCTACATCAAATATCTGTTGAACGTCCTTCTGTGATTGTTAACTTTATCTTATGCAAATTTCCTCTTTGCGTTTCGATCGTGTGTTATTTGATAGTGTCAATTTATTCCTTAAGAACAGATGTAGGATTTTAAGTCTAATTTAAATGAGTAAACCATTTTTTATGTCTGAGCTATTTGCACACGCAATTTACTATACAAAAGTTTAAAAAAAGTGAATAAAGCACACATCAAGTTCAGAAATACTATTCTTTTGATTCTGTAGACAATTCTTTAGTGTCTAAACACGGAATGACAGTACAGAAGTAAAAAAGATAAACACATGCAAAGTGGTTTAACCAATCAGGACAAAGTAACTAGCGGGATCAAGACAATAAAAAGAAGGGGGGTAAGAAACATGAAGGTTTGGTGGGAATCCCAGGGAGCAAAATATCAAATTACAATAGTTTTCCACACATTGAAAAAGGGTGGGATACTAGACTGATCTTTAATTGAATGATCCGCAAACGATTTCCGATAAACAGTAGTGACAAATTCATCCCATTTACGAGAACGCCTAAGATAAGTAAACATTTATTATTCAAGCGCACAATTAAGAGTATAACTAATGTCAGAATTGTACGGCAATGGGAAACAATCATCTGTAGAAGGAGAATAAATCAAAGACTTCAAAATAGTGCGTCACTTAAGAAAGGGCTGAGTGGATTTACATTTTGGGACAGGATTCCTGGGACTGTGAAATATTTTAAAATTTCTTGAAAATTAGAACATTTTTAACAGAAATTCAAAACTTAAAATTTGCCTACACCTATGACATTTTATGAGAGCTTTTGACATTGGGTATTTTGTAATGATCCACACAGTTTTTTCTTCAAACTGTCTTCCTGATTTTATTTAGGATTATTCTTTTCTTTCTTTTAAAATTTTTACTTCTCTTTTTTAACAATTTTGAATGAATCAAAAGAATTTTTTTGTTTTTATATTGAATGTAAAATTATTTCCAAAAATATTTCAGGGACCAATGGTATTCAATAAGTCATGTATTATGACTTTCAAGATTTAAATTTGTCATAGATTTTTACTAAAAATATAAATTACATGAATAATTTTTATGTCGTTGCTAATTCAATAAAATAAACTAATAATAAGTTGAAATAATGTAAACAATTTGTTATTTTTCGATGCCTAATAAGACCTGTCATAAATGGAATAGAATGTAATTCAAATTTGAAGAAATGGAAATCAAATTACATCAAGGTGCATATTTGCTAGTAATGACAAAAATTACTCTAAAATACATAAAAGTTTTAAACAGAACATTTTGATATCGAGCAAAAGTTTGATATCGAGCATTAACCAATGCCGCAAGGAGGCATTACGTACTTAAGAAACTGAATTTAAGCAACGAATCACACCCATAAAAAACAATACATGAATTAAGAGAAAGTAACAAATATTTATGTCTATCTCACTTTCGTCAGCTTTTTGAATATAAACTTTTGCTGATATTCGAAGCCAGTTCAGTTACATAATGAGCTCTGGTTGTTGTCTTTGTTTCCGGTTCAGTTTTGGAACAAATTTGTGGTAAATATTTACTTTTAGAACGTAATCTCGATCAGATGCGTCACAAAATGAGAGAATAACAAGTTGTGCCGGTTTTTCGAAATGCTCCTTTTACCTCTTTCTATATACCAGGAGACAGTCCGTGATTTTTTGAAGAGCTCATTGGTTAAGATAGATGGTAGTTCAAGCTTTCGAAAAGATTATAAACTGACCTGGAAGTAGGATTCAAAATTGATGTTCATGGGATCGAACCCGTGGCTTCCTTTCAGGCACATGTTGGGCGTTGGTGTGAACGTAAACTGTAGTTTGTAGTTAAAGTTCGCACCAAGATTCGCGGCACCTCGAATGAACTGAAATGACAAAAACCGAATAATTTCTTTCACAGAATATCAAGAAACATATAATATCAACCAATGAATATGTTATACAAGATAAAATGTTAACTCAACTACTTTAAATAATGCAAGGAACAAACCTTTTAAGAAAGAGTTTTTCTTCTAACAGTAGCAAGATTAAATGCTTTAACCTTCACCCTCTGAGTATATTGATCACCAATGAACAAGTGCTCAGAGCAGTGGTTCCCAACCTATTTAGACTCTTCCCTTCCAATTTCACAATTGCTAGAAGCTTATTTCCTTCATCGAAAATTAGAAATATACTACATTAATTCAAATTATTTCATAACATGTGATGTCCCGCAGTAGACAGATCGTAGACATGGCTCCTAGTAGAACACCAAACATCACTGGCTGCGGTCAGCAGCTTTTGGGTGACCACTTTGATCAGTTTGCTTAGAAACCGAGGGTGCATGGTATCGGTGTTCGTTAAACCGCAAAGTGTTTGACATCGCTCAGGTTGTCGGGCTACCAAAGCGGGGGAGCCATCCCCTCTGCAGAGCATCAAAATTGTGATGGCATGTCTTCGGTTCATCCTTCCCAGACCGTCACCAAACTCAAGATTAAAAACTAAAAACATTACAAATTTCGCCGATAATAGGAACAAGAATAGCATATTTTTACCTCTCAATGTATATAGTTAATGACCATGTGATTTATTATCTATTCAAGGTCGAAGGAGCCTTATACATTTACTCAAGTAAAACAATGTAATAACAGAATGAACAAAAACGCAGTAACCAGGTTGATAATTGATGCCCAACAGGAGCTGATATGGATCACAAAATGATTAAAAATGTAGTCTTCAAAACAAAATGTTCTCGGTTAGTTATTAAAGGTAATAAAATCCAAAGACGAAAAATATTTGTTAAAAATTTCAAGTTGCTTAAAACAGACTAAATTAAAATTGAGAAATGGTCAAAAGAAGACCAAAAGAGTATTAAAGTCCAGTCAATAGGACAAAATAAAACAAAATGAAAAGATAAAATTTTATCTCCTAAATGGTTATAATAGCAAAGCCATTCAAAACCAAAAGGTTTAAACCGATAAAAGGATCAAGTTAAAACCATTAATTTAAAATTTAGGTGGTATAAGTTAAAATGAAAAATAATGTTCAAAAATGAGAAGCTAAAAATTAGACAGGGTAAAATTTCAAAACACAGTAGAATCATACCATCAAGTTAAAATTTAAAGTGTATAAATTAAGTGACAAAGACTGTCGTACTGAAAATTTGAAAATAAAATATACAAGGCAATTAAAACATTTAAGAGTTTATCGAATAAAATCGAATAAAACAGCTGAAAGGTTCAAGCTGAAAGAGAGACATAAAAATCACAGCAAGACGAGAATTTGAATTGAAATGTCCAAAAAGATTAAAGTCAATGTTGAGTTCGTTGGGCCAGCATGTCCTTCAAAGAGGATTTTAATGATTGATTTTATAATGCCTCTGTCGGCCATTGAGATGAAATGTTTAGTTGGTCAAAGTGATTGTCACGGAGCGTTTGGAAGTGTAGGTGAAAGTTGAGCAAGTGTTTAATAGTCTGATGTTCGCCACAATAATCACAAATAGAGTCTTTATTGAAGAAAGCTTGCTCATGTTCTCCAAGCACCCCGTGACTAGTGTAAATCCCAGAAGGCATGTAACCTTATGGTAACCTCGCATGTCACAATTTTCTTTTTATTGTCACGAAAATGTTTGTATTAAAAACCTTTTTTCAATGAAGCAAAAATATTGCAGTTTCAAACCTTTCATACCAAAAGGATTAAACATTAGTTTTGAAGCTTTTTTAAAAAAGTATTGGGTCCACAAATGACGCTTTAGCTGACGTCCCACTAGCGATAGCATTAAATTGCATTGTCAATTAAAATTTCATGACTAGTGGATTTTAGCTGAGCATTCAAGACGTTGCGAAGAGAAACCTTATAATTTCCTAGACTTAAGATTATTTTCACCTTAAGACTAGCTTTATTCAAGGATTTTTTTCATGCTTGAATACCCTAAGACAACCTCGATTTTCTGGTTTTTATATAGAAGATTGTTTATCAAGGTTTTGGATGAGGGTGGTGTGCGTAGAATAGAGTAGATTGTCACAGATTTTGTTTTAAGATTTGAAGGTTTGCACGTAAACCGCGTAAAAACCTTGTTAGGTTTACATGAAAAGGTTTTTGCTGAGTGAAAATAAACCTTATTTTGCTATGTGGGAATGGTAGGTGGTGTGCAAGCCAAGTCAAAGCATGTTTAATGGTCAGCAGCTCAGTCACAAGGGTATTACAGTTGTCGGTGATCCTTGGAGGAGGTAACATCAACAGTCTCAACACTAAGTTTTATTACCAATCCATTCCTAAAGTGTTTTTCAGCAGTTACCTCCAGACTGGAGCAGTCAGTAAAAATTTCAATGCCGCTGTCCTTCGGCCATATCCAGGGCACAGTGGTCAGTTTTAAAAGGTGGACGTAAATTAAATATCTACCTTAACGATGACATGAAGCTTGCAACACAAATCAAAAACAAAAAGTGTTTAAATTCATGGACACTAATTATAAGGAGTATTATTGCTTTATCTTTTCGACAAGCTGCCTGCGTTGACTAGCTTGTCGCCTAAGCGAACTCACCGCTACGCTGTTTTAGAACCACAATATTTTTTCCTGCATAAACTCAACGATTCACACCTTTAGGTAATACCTACTGCCTTCGACATCATTGCTCTGACTCTTCAGCGTTTGTATTTTAAGTACCGTAGCTTAGGGGAAAATTGGCTGCCTGTTACCCGTCTATACACTTAGCGTTTCCACATAGTCTATCACCTGCATAAACTCACCTCTTCACAGTTTAATAGCACAAGATCTGGAATCAGCTAATAACAACTTGGTAGTGATTTAAGGGATTATTTAACATTATTGTCAATCAATCGAATGACCATGATAGTTTGAAAGAAAAGTTCTTCAATTTATCCTAACAATTTGATAAAAACATATGGTTCATGTTTGAAACTTCTATCTTGGTACAGACGTGTTAATCACATATTACTATCAATTAGGCTAATGACACTCTAATTATCCCGATAACTATGAAATATTTTAATGAAACGGTTTTAGTACTTCCTTTTAACGAAACGGAACACGTGATCGAATTTTGAGACTTCCATGTTTCTAACTAACTTTTATTTAGAATAACTTTCAATCGGGGAAATTACTCCCTAATTATCCCGATAAATACAAAATATTGCAATAAAATTTAATGGATTTTCTTAACTATTTTAACATTTTTGAATTATAAGCTTTTTTCTTAAAAAACTTTTTTTTGGAAGGAAGAATTCTGCTGGAATTATTCTTATCATGGAAATGCAATACTGGTGCATACCATAAACTATCTTTTGTGATTGACAGTTTTCGAATTTTGTTTTAAAATGCTTTTGACAAAATTGCTGAACCCGAATAAAAGCTACAATTTCAGACACTGGAAGCAAATAAATAGGATTATGAGATGAAAGCTTTAAGAAAGGGGAATAAAATGCAATTTTTACTAGAATAATTTAGATTACAAGAAGTAAACTCATAAATGCAATAAAATATTTTTTAGGAAAAAAAAACATTTGAACTTTAACAACTTTTTTCAATTATTTTTAATCATTAATGATCAATGATAATCATTAATGTAATTACATGAACAAAATAATGCATTCTACTTTTAGTATTTTTTGCACTGTTAAGCATTCCCTGTCTTAACATTTCATATCGACTCAAATAATAAAATATTCTTTTGCCATAAAAAGAATGAAAGTTCCTCTAACTTTCTTATATGATTTCTTCATTGTAATTAAAAACTGCGATTAGCGAGTATAAATCCATTGAAAAGGAATACCAGGAAAGGAGTATAAGTCCATAAACAGAACAGAAAAATAATATTTGAAAACTATTTTTTAAATGATACCGAATGCCACACTATACTCACACCGACAGTGCCCAGGGCTTCTCCTCCTATACGAACATTGGTCAGAGGTTGCAGCTGATAGATGTCTCTCTGGGGACACAAAGTGTCCACGGAGAGTCGACTGCTCAGGTGGATGCCCAGGCTCATCTGGACGTTGCCGATGCTTACCAAGTAGAGAGGGATGTGCTTGAGGGGTCTGTAGCGCAACTCAGTCGGCGTGCATCCATCATTGGTGAACTCTTGCCTAGTGCGACCCATAATCTGAAAGCAAACATTTGGATGTCACATGAAAGGTTTCGAAAATGATAGCTGACAATCATCTAGATTACTTGGGATCATCGAAAGCAAATAAGAAAGGACGCGGAATTGAAGAGAAACTGAAGCAAATTAAATGATTTAAAAAAAATTTATTCAATTTTGGAATGAGTCCTGCTTTAGGAAGTGAGTCCTATGTAATCTTTGAATTTTAAAGAAATGAACGGGTGTGTAGTTAGAAAGTCAAAATTATTTAATCAGTTTTTATTAGTTATCATAATTTTTTTTTGCATATAAGTTTAATCATTTACACCAAAGCACTCATTGACTTCATCCAACTAGTTTCATTTGAAATGCCCCTAACGATGTCCACAAAATTGCTTCTGACAGATGCAAAAGGCTTTTTAAGTAAATAAATAAAACCAAGAAATTTCCCGGAAATAACATAGAATTTTGAAAAATGGGAAGTATCGAGGGAATGGTCATTAATTGAATTGTTAAATTTCCAGTTGATATGGGAATTTTCATTTAACTGTTATGAAAAGACTTCTTTCATCGACACTGATGGAGATTTCAGTAGCTTAAGCAGATAAGTCTAAGTGACACTTGAAAGTAATTTTCAAAGGTTTATCTGCTGACTTCAAGACTGAAGATCTGCGAAAGAATGGATCAGCTGCACAAAATTAGTCCAATTCAGAAAAAGGTTCAGCAACGAACCATCATACGAACGTGCATTTTCATATCTTTTCAGTCACCTTGGAGAATCTCATCGCAGAGTCTACGACCTCAACACCATCAAGGGAAACATCAAAGTGGAGAGATATAGGGGTGGCTGTCGAGAAACTCAATGTTACCGTTTGTCAGTTGTTCGGCCATGTGCAGACAAAACTGCAATCACGTTGCGTGAAATGCGCCGGTTCTAACCCCTCTTACCTCTGCGATAAGGACAATTGCTAAGTGTTTTAACTGAGGCCACCCAGCAAACTTTACTAGCTGCGAGTTCGGACTTATGGCGAAAGCCCCCTCCAGATAAGGTAATGGATTTGAACATCTTGCGACATCTAAAGAGACTTGTTATAAATCCTGAGATGGAGGAGATCATCCGCCCAAATTTCTTTGCATCAAAATTGGATACAGTGGTTCTCACTTTTTAACTGGTTTTCTGTGGATCCTCCAGCATCTGGAATCAGCATCTCCAGTTTTTTCTTTAATTCAGTGCAAGTAACATCTTATTGCACAGACAACATCATCATTAATAAAGTACGCCTTCTTGGCTAGGAACCTCTTTGTAGCATTATTGACCTTCATCGCACCCAACTCTTTCTCAAGAATATTTTGCAATATAAATAATCATTTTTAAAAGATTTTAAAAACAAGTGCCAACAATTTAAATAGTGTGGCGTCCATAAAATTTCTTTTGAATGCGATTTCATTTCTCCATGCTGTGCTTTTTTTCATTGGATCCCTTCCCTAAAACATCAATCAACCAAGAACAGGTGTAAACACACGAAAAAAAAGTATTTCAATTTTTATTTTATATTTTTCGATCACATTTTTCAAAACTTTTTTCTCTCTATCCCTTAAATAGAGTGTCCCTTATCAAGGTTTGAATGGGAGCAACAGAGTCATTACCTAAAATGAATGAGACTCACCCTGACGTAAGCTTTAGTCTTTCCACTGTAGAGGTAGAAGTAGAATGAACCGACTTCAATTTGCTGTCCCAGGAAGTTGAATCCCGAGACGAACTTCGTGAAGAGTTTGTACTTCGGGGGATCACTGGGCTCCCTCAAACCAGCGAACATACCTGTTGTCACAAGAATGTAGTTTATACAAGGTGTCCCGTAAATGTTGCGACAAACTTCTAGGGTCACATTATAAGGATTAAGAATTACCTAGGAAACCATGACCGGAAATGTCAACTTACGCGGCTAGGGCCGTTTTCTTATTATGGATATTTTGTTCGTGTGTCTTTGAACTTGCACTCTTATGTTTCTGTATGATGATTAGCATTTTTATTTCATGCTAATTTCATGTTACGATATATTTTATTCTATAATCGTCGTTAAACAGCAGACCCAATTTTTTAGGTTTATGACTACTAATGTTCAACTCTGTAGCCTTGTAATTTTGAGCCCAATCCAGAAGGCAAGGGAACTCCTGAATTAAGTATTGGGAGAAATTTGCCTTCGCGGAGGACTTTTTGAAGGACCTAATCCGCATTTGCGTTACATCTAGAGGAGAAAAAATCCCATAGTTAGCCAGATGGTAAGGGGACTCAAACCCATGATTCGCTTACCACTGAGGATATCTTAAGTTAGCACTATGGTCGGTGAAAGCCGGATGTGGAATTCGTATCAACCAGCCATCGCTCGAATTCAAACCCGGTTCACTTCATTGGAAAACAAACGCTCTATCTCATGAGTCATCACGGCTCTATGCTACAATTAGCTATTGTTAAGAACTTCATTAAAATAGGCTCAGAAATGTTATTTTATCATAATTTAATGATTAGGCGAGCTTGTCCAGCTTGTCGCCAAATTATTAAATTACGATAATACTGTACTTATTTGAAAACAGTTTTTGACAATAATTATTAGAAAGCAAAAAATTAAGAAAATTTCGATAAATAAAAATATCGGATGTTCAGAAGCACATGATGTAACAGTTTATGCTAGGAAAGCGCCCATACGATAACATTTCCGGTCACGGTCTCCTAAATAATTCTTAATCCTTATGATGTGACCCTAGAAGTTTGTCGCAACATTTACGGGACACCCTGTAGAATGCACTTTGCATAACTATATAAAATAACTCAAAATAAAATATGAATTTTCTGAAACTAAAAAAAATTTTAAACAAATATTTTACTTAATTCTCATTTCAATAAATTTAAACCCTTACATTTTTATCTCAATGTGAACGTAGTTAAGTGAAAACCTTTTCAATAGATTGATCGTCTTTCTACAATGGTTTCTTTTTTTAATTTTGTAGCCGACGTTGAATGCTATTTGCTCCAATATAATCGATTTTAAGCCTACCACAGAAGGCAAGGGAGCTCCTAGATCAAGCACTGAGAAACTATAGCCTTCGTGGAGGTTGTTGATGGAATTAAATAATAAGCTATAAATTGCCAAAGCTATCCTTCTTCGGCTAAAACACGTGCCTGCGGTGGGAGATCGGTCATTTTATAAAATCAAGATATTGTGGCGACAATGAAATTTTTCACGAATTTTTCGAAGCAATTGTAGATAACCTAGGTGGTCGAGGAAGGAAGCGTTAGCCTGCAAATGAGGTATCCAAGGTGCGAATCCCAGCTTTGGTTCTGCTTTTCGCTCGCACCTGCCACGGTGCTTAGTGGTAGATGGATCATGGGTTAGAGCCCCCTAGCTGTTGGACTAAGTGTGGCTGGTTTTCGAGATTTTCCTCTCCATGTAACGCAACTGTTGATGGTCTGCCAGCGTTTTGGCAACTTTTCAATCCCTTCTGCGAAGAAATGTGGCGTGCGCGAGTTCAGAAAGCGATCGACCTTATTTATGACCTCGACATTTGAATGGAAGATAGTGCCATCAAGATGCAGCTGCAGATATGTAAACAGAGAATAATTCACGGGCGCCATGTCTTATCTATATGGTGGATGTTACATCAAATCCCTCACCAGCGTGTAAAACGTCCAGTCGGTGATAGAACTGACATGTGGTCGGGCGTTATCTTGATGAAAGAGAACCACTTTCCTTCTAAACTCGTGTTTTTTTTGTTTTTCGCGAATGGCATCGCTAACGTTGATTAGCATGCTATTGTATTTTGCACTGTTGATAGCCTGTCCGCTTTTCAGGTACTCCTTATAGATAATTCCATGATAATATCACCAGATACAGAGAAGCACTTTCTTGTTAGTTAGCGTTCTTCTTACAACCGAACCTGCTGATTCCCCGGGTACTGATCACTGCTTGTATTGCTGTAGTACACCCATTTTTCATCACAGGTCACAATTCAGTCCAGAATGTTCTCTTTTGTTTTTATCTCTGAGCAGAGCTAAACAGGAGGTTTTTCTCTTGCTTTTGTCTTCAGCAGTCAATTCGTGAGGTACCCAGTGGTAAAACTTAAGCTTTAGATTTATGCGTTTGAGAGTATTAACTATTGTTTTTTTGGCAAACTTCAGGCTCTAACGCAATAGTTCGTGTTGAAACATTTCTGCCTTGATTAAAACTTTAACTAGTCACAATCAACTTCAATAGGGTGGCCAGAACGTAGTTCAATTTCAATGTCGAAATTCCCAGCTTTAAACTTTTGAAACCAAACTTTGACAGTATGATAAGAAACAGTATTGAAAACTAAACTTTCACACATTTTTTATGGCATTCAGTTGCTCTGAGCTTAGTTCGGAAATCATAGGACATAATCGTTCTGATATGTTGACGTGATAGTTCCATTTTAAACACTTTTTTTGGTGCACAAGATCATAAAGTTTTGACAAACAAATTACACAGTTGTGTAGTTCCAACTTTCAGACTTAGAATGCGAAAACCCGTTTAAAGAAAGGTTAACTACAACGGGAATGGCTACTGTTTTCACGGATAGGTATCTCCCCTTGGCGGAAAACTTTTTAATCAACCCGATATTTTTATCATTAATTAAAATTTTTGGTTGATTTTGTAGAATATTTCTGCAGTTATAGTAATAACACATAATTTTTTTTCTTAAATAAAAATTTTCGTATCTTCATGAATAGTCAGAGTAAGCTTATGAAATCAGCGTAAATGACATGAGTTAGAAGCGCATCTCCGTATTTTTTTGGTTTGGGGTACACAAAAAACATTTTCCGTTCGTAATTTATTGCCTGTCTCTCAAACCTCTTAAAAGCTTTGAACTTTATTGATATGTGTGGGAAATCGCAAGACAAAGACTTCTAAAGTTTTAAAATAGTTCTCTAGGTATTTCTTGAGGAATGAGTAGTATAGAAGTGTTTCCGTTATTTTGTCCACCCCCTTTTCAGAATGGAAATTTCCTTTCTGTTTACTACCTCTTAAGTTTTAAAAGAACTCTGCTTTTAACTTCAGATCCAAATTTACATTTTTAATATTTGATGACAGACAAAACTATGAACGAAAAGAAGGAATGTTAATAATGAAGCCTTGGTACTTTTAACTTTTCATTTTTGTAAAAAAAAAAAATTTAATAAAAACAAAACAAAACAATAAAGCCATTTCTTTTGAAATCAAAAACTTCACCCTAGCAATAGAAATCAGCAGACAATGGCATGTCTGCTAATTAACATTTCAAAGGCTCCTCTTGAGTTTCGTCACAAACGGATTCCAAATAATAAGATAAAAAAATTAAAGAAAATTCACATGTCTGGGGAAATGTGCATCATGGACGAAACTCGCATTTGTATTACAGTTTGAGGAATAATCCATGTTATTAACGGAAAGCAATTAAAGGTGTCGAATCTGACGTCACTTCAAGTATTTCACTTTCAATCATGAATCCATTGATTGTCCGATTTGGTTGCTGGCGTTGCTCAAAAGTTAAAAGAAGTCATGGAATGACCTCAAATGAAATACGCTACTAAAAGCACCATAAATTCTAGTGAAAATCTAAAAAATTTTAAATCCAATATGTTGAATAGTTATTGCTTAATTATTTGAAGCTTTTTACCATTCTTTTTTGAAGTAAAATTTAACAAAATAGGATAATATTCACTACCCTGTATTACTATATAAATGATTCCAGAATATAAAATTTTACTATATTAATGATTACAGTTTACTTATTATTTTTGTTTTAATGCATACATGGATGCATATAGAAATTTTTATTTATATTTAATTTTCTTGGAGGAGATAATTACCAGCAAAAATTATGCTTCTTGCAACAACGAAAAATGTGTGCGCACTTCCAGTAGGTCTTGATTTCTCTAGCTAAACTTCTTTTCTTTAAAAAGCTTATTTTTAATTTGAGTATTCCAGGTAATAACGGTTTAATATTTAAGTTGTCCTTCGAGATTCAAATTCTGATTGACCATACCGTTGTTTGCGGTATTCACTAAAAATTTAAAGTAGCGAGTAGGTCCTTGATACACAGTTAGGTAACGTTTTTTAAGCATAATTTTGTTAGAGTTCTTGTATTTTGAGAAATCAGACACATAGATTAAAATTCTCTCATGTGTACATTACTGGTTAAAGTATCCGAATGATGATCGAGGTTAAGATATCTTACCTGCGTATATTTCTGCGTTGGCTCCCTTCACTCCTAGTTTTCTGAAGGCGAGGCAACTCTTCCTTTTGTTGTAGGTGGCTCTGTCTAAGGCAAACTCTTCCTTCTTCTGGATGGGGTTGTATCGATTGTCTTCTGTCCACTCCTGACAGTTGAGGTCATCCCAAAGGGCGCGTTTTCTCCGTCGACCTTTGGAGTGACTCTGGACGATTTCTCTGGCAACGACGTTCTCCTTCCTCCCGAAGTACAGGAGGATTTCTTCTGATGAACAATCTCCCGCCTTTAGAAAATCTCTCAAAAATTCATCCACCCTTTTGAAATGGAAACGGGGCCACAACAGCATACCTAAAACGTAACACTTATATATATATATATATATATATATATATATATAATGAAGAT